AATGTCAGTAGAACAAAATTCATAAACATCATTGATGCAGAAACCAGATGAGATTATCTCATGTTTAAACAAATATTCATCTCAAAAACTTCCAAGGTTTGTTAGTTTCACCTGTGAGAGCCTGGGTCTCCGTCTTTAGAGGCTGAAGTCTTGGCAGTCGGATCTTTCTTCTCTTTGCAACATGTAGGATTCAAGTGTTTCCTGTACGATTCCAAAAGAAAAGTCCAGTTAAAAAAATCCATTTGATTTTGGAACCAATAGGCTGCTTTAATGTGATTTTTAAAAACAATGAGCGCATCCAATTGGCTTGAAGTCATCTCTGTTTTTTACTCTTTAACAATTTTGCAAGAAAGTCATTATATGAGAATAAAGTTCTAATTTTACGAGAACAAATTGTATGAGAATAATGTCATAATTTTAAAAAGAAAAGTGTGAAGTGAAAAAGTGATCTTTTTCTCTCAAAGCTTTACATTTTTAATTCTCACTTGAACATTGTTTATTATAATAATTATAATAATATAATTAAACAATGTTCAGGTGAGAATTAATAACTTGAACTGCTACTGCGATTGAGTTTACTTGACTGCAAAATAAAGCCAAGGGCCACACACAGTAGGACCGCCAAAACGCCTGTTAGGACTTTGTAGCCCGTACATCCCGTCGCTGAGAGCTAGAGAGGGAGAGAGGGAGAGGACAAGAAGGAAAATAGAGGCATTCAGGGTTTCATTCAGACTCAGTGAGACACTAACAACTGTCACACTCTGTGGTGTGGATCTGATCCGGACTTACCTCGTTCACAGTCAGTCTCGTAGCTGCAGGAGTCCCCCTCTCTTTCTGTCCACCAACCTGGACATAGCAGCGGTAATCACCTCCATCCTCCGACCGAACCCGCTGGACGATCACCGAGAAGTCTCCACGTTCCAGGGCTTTATCTGGTAGAGACACTCTCCCCTTAAACCCGGCCTCAGGTTTGATTTCACCGGGGGGGAAATTAGTCCCAAACACACGTTTCCCGTCTTTCTCCCACCACGCCCTCTCCACCTTTTTATTTGTTGTGAGGTAGTGACACTGCAGCATGACCGTTTGTCCCTCAGCAGCCTGCACTACAGGGAAAGGTACAACAAACAGCTGGGTCCTCGGTTTCTCATCGCGCTCACTGCAGTTTAGCTCATACAGCCCGCTGTCCATGATGTTCGTGTTCCTCAAGGTGACCGTGTGGTTATTATTCACCCTGTTTTCGTAATCCGGTCCCGGCCTCCACGCGCCGTCCAGATAACGTGCCACCGGCCGATCATCCCTGGTCTGGTGAATCAGTGTAGCGTTTTCTCTGCTGCAGTTTGTAGTTGCCGGAAACGTAACACTGTCTCCCAGAAGAGCGTCGATACGATCTGCAGACACAGCGGAGAGGAGGAGGGAGAACACAAGCCACAGGCAAAGCCTCGCTGTCTTCCTCAGTAGAAAGTCCATCGTGTGTGAAGCGCTTCATCAAACTGACAGAGGTCTGAGTCTCCTTCCTCTATATGTGTGTGGGGGTCTGCTCTCCCCTCCCCTCTCCCCTCGGCTCTTTGTGCAGAATGGAGGTTGTTGCAGTGAAGCTCAGACAAACCGTCCATGAGAAAGTTTCTACGAAACCGGTCCGTGGTGATTAAAGGTGGTAAGTGCAGACCGCTACAGACAATCAGACGATGTGGCCTCTTGCGCCAAGTAAGCGTATATGTGACTGGAAGAAGCGTAGCCTCGACCACACAGCAGTTTCATGCATGTTTCTTTTAACTCATTTGAGAATTTAATGCATATATATGTATCAATACATATATTGATACATATATTTATATTTATATGTATTTATTTATTTGTTGAACGTTGTTTGATGAAGTTCTTATTGGCCTTTTACTTTTTATTGTAGGACGGAGTATTAGGAGGCACTTTGAGGAGAAAAAAAATCTGAAAATTCGAGAATAACGTCTTAATTTAACGAGAATTAAAAATGAAAAATTTCAAGAGATTAAACATAATTTTTAGGAATATTAAAAGCTAGCAATAATTATTGTGAAATTCTGCTGTAGCAGGTTTCACAATAATTATTGGTAGCTTGGCTACCTTGGCTCCATGTTCCTCATTAAGCGTCTGATATTTCCCCTCTTTTTCTTTTTCCTTTAAGACTATGACTTTTTTCTTTAAATATTATGATTATCATGATACAACTTTTTTCTCGTAATTTCATTTCTTTCCCCTCAAAGTGGCCAAAGAGAGATTTTGTTCTGTTTTGTCTGAAGTCTCTCGGAGTCTTTTCCGGGTGATTAAGCAAATAGCGAAGAGTGGTGAAAAACTAAAAGGAAAGCTTTCTGCCACTCCAATCATTTCAAATCCTTATTGATCCTGAGAATTTACACTGAATAAGAGTTTGATCAAATGTTTAGGATCTGGGCCAGTGTCAATAATCATGAGGGAAGTCATCGACTTATTTCGGCTCTTTGTGCAGAATGGAGGTTGTTGCAGTGAGGTGGGGAAAAAACCTCAGACTCAGAATCTCAGACAAACCGTCCGTGAGAAAGGTCTTTCTGAAATGTCCGTGCTGTGTAAAGGTGGTTGGTGCAGGCAGATACAGACACTTATGATGTGCGCTGAGAAACAAACGTGACTAATGGCGCGTCCATCAAACCCGACTTCTTCTTTCTGCTGCTGCTCCTTCGTTCAATAAGCGCCTGAACGCTGAGTTTTAATTCCGCAAAAAACCACGACCTTACAGAGGGGCTTACAGGTGTGTGTGTGTGTGTGTGTGTGTGTGTGTGTGTGTGTGTGTGTGTGTGTGTGCGCGCGCTCTGAGCTCGGCTGAGGTTCCACTCTTCTCTCTCCTCTTTCTCCTGCTGTTCTTACTCAGTTTTATCTGCTGTTTATTCTGAAAATGAATCGGGCATTCCGTGCGGCGTGTTCTATCTATCTATCTATCTATCTATCTATCTATCTATCTATCTATCTATCTATCTATCTATCTATCTATCTATCAAAAAAAATCGATATCAAGTTTTTCTCATAATCCTTATGTCATAATGTTAAATTTTGTGTGCAGTGGTCAGACAGAAATGAGGGAGCGACCCGGTTTAATACGGCAGAGGTAAAGGAAGCGTTGGTCTCACACCTCAGCTACGCCCTGGTG